CTTCCTCACGTCGCCGCTCAGCTTCTTCTCTTCTCCGTTCTTCTTGTTCTCTTCTTCGTTCTTCTTCCTCTCGTCTCCGTTCAGCTTCTTCTCTTCTTCTCATCTCTTCTTCCTGCCCAACTGCCACTCCATAACCAGCGTGTCCACCTCCAACGCTCTGCTCTCTTCTGCGTTCCATTTCTTCTCTCCTACGTTCCTCCTCCTCTCTTCTGCGCTCTTCTTGTTCTCTTCTACGTTCTTCTTCCTCTCTCCTCCTTTCTTCTTGTTCTCTCCTTCGTTCTTCTTCCTTCATTCTTCGCTCTTCTTCTTCTCTCCTTCTCATTTCTTCTTCATGCTCTGCTCCTGTGGTGGATATTCCATAACTGCCATGTTCACCCCCACCGTTTTCTTCTTTCCTACTTTGCATTTCCTCTCTTCTACGTTCTTCCTCTTCTCTTCTGTGTTCCTCTTCCTCTCTTCTGCGTTCCTCTTCCTCTCTCCTGCGTTCCTCTTCCTCCCTTTTCCGTTCCTCCTCTTCTCGTTTTCGTTCGTCTTCTTCCCTCCTTCGCATTTCTTCCTCTTGCCCATTTCCACCTTCTGGTGCACCATATCCGTGTGCGCCTCTGCCATTTTGTTCCATTTCTCTACGTCGTGCCATAGCAGCTTTGAAGTACTCTGAAAAAGATGTTCTTATTCCTCTTTTCTACCTGCTACACAGTTTGCTACGAGCGAGGTAAATTCAGCTGGCCAGCTAGTGGCAGGGACAAGCATTTTTCTACGGATAATTAAGTGATTTGGCAGCATTACACGACAGGATAAATGCCAACATTTGCGAAAAGCTCAGGGAAAGCGCTTTCAAGCTTATAGATTAAATGAAATATGAAGACTCAGTAGAATATTGTCGTTTAAGAATACCGCATTCAGTTTCGTCCGTGCCATCGGCACAATCGTATTTTCGATTACATTCGAGTGATTTGTCAATGCATTTGCCATCACCGCACATAAATTCCGCCGATGAACACCCTGACTGTTCCTAAAATCTCATTAAAAAAATTTTTTCAGAGATGTCTATCACAATAGCGAACTTTAAAGCTATAGAT